TACAGCTTTCTTCAAGCGGTGCCAAAATGATCCTTTTGCCTGCGCACTTTTGTACTCCCAAGTGCCATCTTATTACGTCTGGAAAGGCAAAAAGAAATTAATGCGTAGATTGATGTACCAGAGCACCCAGGTAGAGTGTACACTGTACTTCCCAGTCAACATGAATGTTTTCAACTTTGTCTCCTTCTTCACAAAGTTCGAAGTCCAACATCCTTGCAGAATTTTAAACATGTAAACGGACTGGTTTGTACAACCTACTGAGAAGCATGCTTGATCCGAGGTTTGCTTGAAGATGATGGTCAATGGGATGCAACAATAGCTGAGACTATTGTCCCACAATCCCCTGGGAATCTTAGGTTGCTCTTTGCAGTCCTATTGCAAACATTCGAAGTAAATGACACTGCTTCTCTGTAGCATATGTATAGGGATAGCTTATCTGAAGAATTTTAGGCCCTAAGCCCAACTCCAATTTCAAGGTGTGGAAATAGTTTTCAGTGATGAAATTTACAACAGGGCGTTGTTATAGAAAACTATGTTTCTATTAGAGGGAATGTGTTACGGATATATGGGTTACCCAAAACTCATCGGACTGGGAAAGATGCCTTACCCACAAAGTGTTGAGAGAAACATCCCATGACATCAATGCCCTATGTGCATATGTTGATGAAAATGAGCAAAAGTTGTTTCTAGACCAAAGGAGAGCTTATGACACTGTTATTGACAGTGTCCGCTTCTCCAAAAGTGGAATGTTCTTCCTAGTTGCTCCTGGAGACATTTGTTACTAATCTGCTTTTAGCCAAAGTTCGACAACACAAGAACATAGGTTTGTCGGTTGCCTCATCTAGTATTGCTGCAACTTTGCTACCTGGTAGCTGAACTGCACATTCAACTTTTAAGCTTCCATTTCATTTGACTTCATCAAATAATCCAGTTTGCAGTATCAACAAAACCTCTGAAATGGCCCAAGTGCTAAAAAGGTGCAGGTTTATCGTATGGGATGAATGTACCATGGCACACAGGGCAGCTTTGGAAGCATTGGACCAAACCATGAGGGAAATTAGGGATTGTCAGTCGCCTATGGGAGGTATAACACTCCTACTATCTGGAGACTTTAGGCAAACACTGCTGGTCATATCAAAAGGGACCAGAGCTGATGAAGTCAGAGCATATCACAAATCTTCTCCGTTGTGGCGACATATTCGAATATTGACTCTGATGCCAATGGGGAGGTGACAACTCTGCAATGTTGTCAGTATTGCTGAGGAGCTTAAGGCCAAGGTTTCCCCAAACATCCAACATAGTTACAAAAACTATAATTGATTATGTGACAGGGCAATACTGGCTCCAAAGAACAAGGCAGTTGACAGAATCAATGACCAACTTTTGCAGTTCCACCCAAAAACATCTCATATCTACAGGCCAGTGGATACCATTCCTGATCCGGAACAGGTGGTCAATTATCCAATGGAATTTCTGAATTCTCTAGAACCGCCCAGGCTACATTCACATAGACTGGCATTCAAGATGGGGGTGCCTATAATGCTATTACGGAACCTGGACCCACCAAGACTTTGTAATGGCACCAGACTGGTGGTTAATCAGATGATGCCACATGTAATTGAGGCATCGGTTCTTACTAGGTATGGAAAAGGCGAAGATGTCTTTATTCCCAGGATTCCCCTTATTCCATCAGGCTTGTATATACCATTCACATTCCGGAGACTTCAGTTACCAATACAAGTAAGTTTTGCTATATCTATTAACAAAGCACAATGCCAGACTCTATCAGTTACTGGACAACAGAAGAATCCTGTTTCTCTCATGGGCAGTTGTATGTTGGTTGTTCACATGTGAGAAATAAAACCAATTTGTTTATGTTCCACAAGGAAAGAGGAAGAATATTCTCTACAAAGAATTATTGTAGTATAAAAACTGTTTAAAGATATTTTTGTACTTGAATAAATGAATTTATGAAGTTATATTGTTATAGATTCATTCATTGTTATAGATTCATTTTTAACTTTTTAAATCCTGGGTAGTGCCAGATAGCTATGCTAATATATATGTATAAGGGAAATTCAAAAATACCCTGTATGTATAGCTATTTTTCTCCACAAGAATTACCTTGCAAGGATTGTCACTACCAAGGTGTTTGGAGATAGAATTAAAAAAAAAAAATAGATAAAAAAAAAATCTCCAAACTTGGTGTTGACAATCCCTGCAATGTAATTTTTGCTGGAAGAAATAGCTATATATATGGGGTATTTTTGAATTTCTCTTGTATGTAATTTATTTATATATGCTCTGTAATAAATACATTGAGCTCTCTTTGTGGATCAGTTTTAATAATTTATATTATTATTAGGATTCACTTGGATTATTTACCCATAGATTTTTACTTGTATGTATATGTGTGTGTATATATATATATATATATATATATATATATATATATATATATAAAATCACATGGCTGAATAGTTAGAACATGCACTTTCTAACCATGGGATTCCGAAGTTCAAATCTCACCATGGTCGATTTGTCAGAGAGGCAACTTCCTGATGTTATTGGACTGGATTGAGGTCAATCCTAGTGTGTGGCACTTTTAGAAAGTGCCTGAAAACCATACCAAGCCTTGTGAGTGAAATTGGGTAAATTGGGACTCTTGTGGGCTGTTAATAGCTGTGCTAGCATGAAGCCACATGTCATCATGCCCAAGAGATTGAGCGTGCTGGCCTTGTTCAAATTGTTGATCACACTAGATAACTCTCTCTCTCCCAGAAACTGTCTGCTCAGCATAGTTGCAATATAAATCACAGGTGGGTTCTGTGGGTGTTGAGCAAAAAACCAAAAATGTGCCTAAGCAAGCATCTACAATAGGGATTGGCTAGCCACCCTAGTAGACAGGTATCCTTGATTATGAGTGGTTATATATATATATATATTTATATATATATATATATATATATATATATATATATATATATATAAATTGTTGGATTTCCATATTAGGCATTTTCTGTCTAAGGTAGCTAATAGCAATGGCAAGAATAGAAACATAAACAATAACATTAATATGCGTTCTGGGGTTGACTCTTAGCCACTGCCATCAGTATGTGACCTGATTGATTGGCGGTCATCACTACCTGGTGGGGTCCTTTAGTAAGGGTACCAAATGGGATGGTCAGTCGATTCTAACAGCACGAATACATAACACCTTCACACCAGATTCAACTGGTTCAACACCAGCCCCGTCATTCTCAGCTCACTTCCAATGACTGGTTACTGAAGTAACTATCTTGATCTCAAGTCTAACCTACACACGTCATGATTTTGATCTTAGGTTGATAAGATCAATCAGATACTAGAGCCGTCATGCAAGCTGAGTCTAAACTGGAGGTCACGTCACACAAGCAAAAAGAAATAAATGAAAACCAAAAAGGTTTGAGTATGTTTAAAGAAAGCAAATCATCTTTTATTAGTCTGGTCTATACAGGCGTGTGTGTTCTTCCCAACCTGTTTCTTCTGAGAGTGACACTTTTATACTTCTAGGTAAGTTCTGGTCTTCTAAGTCAACTTTTGGAAAATTAATTACTTCCTATTTCTGGCGGTATCCATTTATCCATGAGGAGAGGTTGCGGGATAGCTATCCTCCTAGACTCCCTCCTCCTCACATTGGTACCTCACAATAATTCCTTTCAGTGAGCGTTAGTAACTTGTCCATCTCTCTTACTATTTTACCTATGCCTATCAGCACTGCTACCACATGACCAATGGTGTCTCGGTCATACTGGTGTGGCTAAACTTGCTTCATTAAGTTTTTGACACCACTGCTTAATCAGGATTTCTTATTCTGTTCCCAAATCATGAGAAGTTTAGAATTATCAACTGGAACTTTGTTTATGAAAATCCTTTTGTGCCCTGCCAAAATTCCTACAATTAACACATGGCCTTCTCACCTGACCATTTCCTTGGTCACATTACCTGTGTACACAACATCAATATCTTCGTCGATTTTGATTATTTTGTGTTTTCTTAACCAGCACTTTTAACGACCAACATTAATCAATTGCCAGAGATCGCCACCTTGCCTTTTCATGAAATTATTGTTTACGCAATTCTTCTGTTTCTTGAGAAAAATAGACTTTTTGAAAAAAAAAAAAAAATTTTATGTTGATCGGTATATTCTATGGGATATCTCTTAACACTTCTTTTCTGCTTTCATCATTTTCCCATTCAGTTTTTATGGCTAATTAGTTAATTAATTACCATAGCTAAATAGTGTCACACTCTAACCTTATAGTTAAAAATAATAATTCAGACTGTTTTTATGTAATTTATCATCTGAAAAGAAAAAAATTATAGGATCACATGAGAAATTGTATAAAAAAATAAATCAAAGCACCTTGTCTATCATATTCAATGAAATGTGCATGAAAGAGGGATTGCTGCCTAAATACACAAAATATATATATATCATAAAATATCATATATATATAATATATATATATATATATATATATATATATATATATATATATATAAAATTTATATATATATATATATATATATATATATTTTTTTATATATATATATATATATATATATATATATATATATATATATATATATAATTTTATATAACATTTTGATAACATTATATAGGCCATATTATGTTTTTACTTAGACATACACATCTATAATAAAGCTTAACTAATCAATTATGTACAAGAGATTAACAACCATAACTAATATTATAGTAAAAGAATTATCCCTATATACTGTCATAAAAGTTATGTGATGGATAAAAGAAATATTTCTACCGAAGTGTATGATTATTGTTTTTAATCATTAAGTCAAAACCCTTTACCATTCATTTTTAAGAAAGCATTTTCCATTTTTCATTAACAAGGTTAATGATTCAATTGCATTTTAATTAACTATTTTATTCCTTACATACAATCTATAATCAATCATTTTTCTGTCTTCTTCTTTCTCAGTTAGGTAGTATCCACTGTCTTGGAGAAGCTGTCCAGTTTATCAGTGATGTGCTACACCTTTTGTCACAAAGAACTCAATATTCAACGGAATTGGCTCCAGTGATAGACCATGCTATGTCCATATGTTATATATGCCAGCAGAGAGGTCTTTCCTCTCTTATGTTAATACAGAAGATACATCAAGTTGGAAAAACATGGCCTCAGGTATGTTTTGGTTTAAATTTATCTTCTTGATCACATTTGTCTGAAAAATATCCATTCCTTTAATATCAATAATATCCTTACAAGAGCACTGGTTTTTTAGTCCCCTTCAAAGTACTCTTCTTAGCCCCTTACATATTTATCCCACCATCCTTTCCACATGTTCAGACATGTGCAGTAAGGTCCCTTCTGATTGGTTGCTTACTATTACTGTACTGTACTGTACTGATGCGGCATTCACCCTGGGCGGATTGAGCCGGCTTCTTCCTGTTATGAGAAGATTCTTGGGATAAATTACAGAAGTAGGGTACCCAGGCCTACTCGGATAATGTTCTTGCTTGCCGGGGGTTCCCACAGACGCAGAGACAGGAAACGACCAGAAGCCGCCCGGTTACCGATGCAGATGCTCCTTGATTTTCACCAGAGCCCTTGTTAGTCCGTGTGTGTCAGACCTGTCTGCCTTGTGTGGCCCTACCAGGGAGCGAAGTTCCGGGTCAGATAGCTCTGACACTACCGTTTACACCCCCCAACCGACTGTGAGGTAAGGGTTGGACTTTGGGGCTTACAGTACCAGGTGTTCCCAAGCGGCCCCCATCTAAGTACTGACCTGGCTCACGATGCTTAACTTCGGTGATCGAACGAGAACCGGTGTTTCAGCGTGATTTGACCGTAAGCGATTGGTTGCTTAGTTGCATGAAGACCACACAAGATACTCAAAGTAGTTAGATACTTTCCAGACAGATAACATAAATAAAAATGTAAAATTGTTTTTGATCTCCAAAATGTTTCAAAAGATTTCAATGAATCCAAAAAGATTCATTCTCATTTCAACATTTTATGAAATAACTAAATTATACATGTAATTACCGTCTTTTTCCAGTTAGACTAACAATTGCTTTTTTTCCTGATTTTCAATAAACAGTATAAAAATCGAGTGCCAACACTTTTTCCAAGAAAGTTTAAATATTAGCAAATTTGATGTCGTCATCATTTTTTTTTTCTTACTACAAGAAATATTTGTTAGTGCAAGAAATGGCACGAGTTAAAAACTTAGTAAACTTCCCAATGTGTAGTTCCTTGCTTTGCCTGGATAACAGTAGTTTATCAATATTGTATGGGATCTGTGATATGCTGGACTCATTGCATGTGTATATCTATCCTGGTACATTCCAGGACTGACTCTCATTAAACTTGATGGCTGGGTGTGATTGCAGGAATTTTAATGAGGGCTGCAACATGTCACATACATGCTCAATAAAGGATAATGGGCACTAGGAAAGTTACATTGTAACATATATTTTTGTGTGTGTGTGTATATATATATATACACATTATGAAATGGACAAAGTCCGACAATTATTTAAGGCATTTTTTTTATGTTTATACGTTCTTTTTATAGATACAAATATTTAAGTAAATGATCTGTTTATAATAAACAGTATTTACCAGCCTGAATGTCCGAGAAATTTTCATAGAAAATATGCATCCTCAGACAGGAATTGAACCTGTATCCTATATGGAAACATCATATAGCCTGATGTGCCTTAACCAATTGGGCCACAGAGGTGCATTCGGTTAGCAAGGTTGATTTTACTGTTTTTAAACACAATTCTCCATGATTTTCTCTCATTCATTCATATCTATGAAAATTTCTTGGACATTCAGGCCAGTAAATGTTGATAATACTGTTTATTATAAACAGAGCATCTACTTAAATATTTGTATCTATAAAAAGAATCTATAAACATATATATATGTAATCATCCACAGACAGACTGTTTCACTGTATAAGTTTGGCTAGACATCCGATTGCTTCAAACCAGGATCAAAACTCAACTAATTTGACATCAGTCAGAGACCCTTACCCCTAGGCAGAGTAATGGAATCTTTTAACGCATTATATACATGAATGCAATACTGGCCATCATAGCACTCAGTTCTTATGAAGAGCGATGCATTTAAAGCAACAGCAGCCATTGAAAATTTCCTTTTACCCCATAGTGCTCAATCATCTACTGAAAAAGTCATGTCATATATATATATATATATATATATATATATATATATGAAAAGTGTATATAAATATAAATAAATATAAGTATGTATAATTATTTATATATTATATGCACGGTACTTATTAGAAAGCGCTCAATATCAGAGATAGAGCTAACATATTTGGTTGGATAGATGTGAGTTTGTGACCCTGGGTTTCACGCTTTAGCGATCATCAGACAAACGGATTAATGTTTTAAAAAATGTGGGTTTATGTAGATTGCGTGTATTGGTGTTATTGTGGAAGTGGTGGGGGAAATTTCGTCATTTTGTCATTCATCGTACTAACGCAAACATCGATGTATGCAGATACATATACATACTTGGTCGTCCGTTGGGACTCATACATATATAAACATATGTGGGCAGTTTCGGCTATGACACATCTATGTATACGGGTGGTGTTATATCTATATGTACGCATTTGTATGTTGAAATTTAAACATTGGAAGTGTGGCGGAAATGTCTCGTTATAAGATTTTCTTTTCAACACCATCACTTGATAAGACACAGAGTGTGTTGAAACAAAATGGCTATTTTTGTAGTGATTTTATAACATACTTATGTTATAAATTTTTTTATAAAAATAATTATATCTGCTCTACTTTGTATTGAGCACTCTTTTTAAGAATAGAATTTGTTGGTTATTGAATTCATTATGTGTATACCAATTATATACTTTGATATATATATATATATATATATATATATATATATATATATATATATGAAGTTGGCAAAATATAAAAGGGAACATGTGTGGGGCATCTAATAAAAAAAAGTGATGGGAACAAAAAGAAAAAGAATCTAGATGATATTGGCTAGATTGTTTCCCCAAAACATTAAAAAAAATAATTTAAAACTTAGAATTTTCAGCATCTCTGGTTTGTGTATATGTGCAGTCTCACTAATGTAAACAAATTTAGTCTGATTAAGATGTAAAGGACAAAATGCATCACATGAAGACTTTTTCTGATGTCGTCATACATTTTTCACCCATAATTGCTCTTGATATATAAAAATTTATATATTGTTACCCCATATATATATATATATATATATATATATATATACACACATCTATATGCCATCATATCATATATATCAGCTAGCACAGCATCCTGCTGATAGACTGGATCCATAATCTCATGAATTTCCTACAAATAGTTCAATTCTTCTATTTTCTTGGTTAGTGATATCTGTCTAGATTTTACATTTCACTAGTACACCATTGCTACTGTTGTTTCAGAAAAACTTAGAGCAAATAACCCCTTAAAAATTGTGGTTTCTACTTCTAGCAATCATGCAATGGTCAGTGTGAAATCCTGTCCACATCCCATGGCTGCCACTGATACTCGATTTCTTTACTTTTTACATAATACATATGTTATTTAGCTGAGTCTAAAAATGCTGCCTTTAATTTTTTTCACTTCAATTTATTTTCAGCCAAAACTCAATGCCCAAATAAAACCTTGATTATTGCTTAATAGGATTATATATTCTTCTTCTTCTTCTTTCTTCATATCCTCCTCCTCCTCCCTTTACCCGAGCTTTTCTTCCCTTCCCCATCTTCCTTCTTCACACCCTCCTCCTCCCTTTACCTGAGCTTTTCTTCTCTTCCGCATCTTTTTCTTTCTTCACACCCTCCTCCTCCCTTTACCTGAGCTTTTCTTCCCTTCCCCATCTTCCTTCTTCACATCCTCCTCCTCCCTTTACCTGAGCTTTTCTTCTCTTCCCCATCTTTTTCTTTCTTCACACCCTCCTCCTCCCTTTACCGGAGCTTTTCTTCCCTTCCCCATCTTCCTTCTTCACATCCTCCTCGTCCCTTTACCCGAGCTTTTCTTCCCTTCCCCATCTTTTTCTTTCTTCACACCCTCCCCCTCCCTTTACCCGAGCTTTTCTTCCCTTCCCCTTCTTCTTCTTCCTTCTTCACATCCTCCTCCTCCTTCTCTCTTTACCCTAGCTTTTCTTCTCTTCCCTCTTCTCCTTCTTTCTTCATATCCTCTTCCTCCCTTTACCTTTGCTTTTCTTGAATTACTTGTCTTGAATTTTAAAGTAAAAAACACACACACACACATATATATATGCCTTTAATGCTGATTTTATAATGAAAAAATATTTTACAAAAAAATTAAAATATTACACTAGAGGTTTTGTCAAAGGCTTTTAAAAACTTCTCTATAAACTTTTCATGTTAAATATAATTGTGGCTGAATTTAAAGCATTAAAACTATTTGAAAACAAAAAACAGATATCAGTGAAATAATTAGAAACAATTAAAAAATGAACTTAACAGAGCCCAAGTTAGTATTCCAAATTTCAAAGCTAATTTTGCCCAAATATTACAGCAGTTGTTAACAGACTTATTTGTATGTTGCTTGACTTATTTACCTCCAGGTTTGAAGATTCAAATCAGAGCAGAGTTCACTTAATTTTATATATTTGTGTAATTGAACAACAAAAAAATAAACAGTGACACTGATTTTCATATAAGTTTTATTTTCTCTACTATCAGAATTTGCTGATTATAATAATCATTAAAGATTATTACTAGATGCACATTATTTTATATAAATGTCAGTAATTTCTGTGGGAGATTACTCCTAGGGACTTGCTTTAAGAATTATTTCCCTTGTAAATCAAATTGAAAATCTTGTAGTTTCAACAATGTTTGATTTTGCATCACAACCTATTTTTTTCCTTTAAACAAATTAGTCGATAGCAACAATTCATATTCTTACATATATTTCTATGTAAACTGAATCATTTTTTCATCATTATGCTGTAAATCTATAGATTTAGTTATGTATAATTTATAAGCGAAAGAAAGATGTCATTTTATTAAAATCTGATCACAGACATTTAGAATTTATGTTTAACCTTCACAAGAAAGTGTGCACATCTTTGGAAATAATGATACAAAAATATCCAACTCATGATATTTGATTTTGTTGATGTGTGTGTGAAAAATGTATTCTTCATGTTCATGCAATTCTAAGATTAAAGTTTCTAAAAGAACAGAGAGACAATGATAACGACTATGTTCAAAATGTTCTTGAGTTCATACACTGAATTAGAAATCATCCATTACTTATGGATCACTTAGCTTTCAATACATTGCATAATTCTCATACAAGGCAAAATCATTTTTCAAATGAAAAGAAAAAGGTTTAGAATAATTGTTTCAGTTCAGAAATTCTGTTTAAGAAAATTAAACATAAATTGAGAATAAAAAAAAACTTTATCATCGACAATGATCTCCATCTTCCATCGAAATTAAAACAAATCAGAGACTATATCTATTAGGATATCCATTGTGGCAATGCTGTTCCACATAAGTGTCAAAAGCTTAAAGCAGTAATTCACAAACGGTGTGATGTGTCTCATGAATGCAGCAGGTGAGATGGAATGATTAAAAGAAATTCAAAAAATTCATCTGCCAAAAATAAATATGATTTCAAAACTTAACATATTATTATGGATTACTTGTAATTGCTTGCACGAGTCCCAATATAAATAGTTATAAATAATTATTGACCGATTTTATCATTGTGATATTTTTGCATTATATCAAGTCTTAAGTATATAGTAATTGTACTCCGCAAACTAGAGGAGAAAGTTATCAATGACAATGTTCTGACCTTGAATCTGTGGTTATCTCCCTTTAACCCTCTCTCTGAACCTTTTTTCTTTTCTTTTTTTTTTTTTTTTTTGCCCATAGGGCTGCTTGTGCCTTTTTCACTGAGACTTCCCTTTGGTGAGGCGCAAGCAAATTTTCATTCCAAAAATGCAGCCCACAGAAAAAAAAGTTTGAGAACCACTGGCTTAAATTATAGTGGCCTGGGTATTCACCTGATGGGATGTCCTAAATATGCAGAAAGAAGGAATCTTCAGGCTGAAGGTGCTAGAACTTTGGATATGTGTACATAGGGATCATGCACATGTTGATGTGAGTGGATTGCTTTTTGGCTAGCCAGAAATTGTATCCCTCATAGGAAAAGCTCTACTATGAAATAATTTTTCGAGTGATTTTTCTTATTAAACTGATACCAAAGGCCTTGGTATCCAACAATGCAACTGAATTTAACAACAATCCACGTCATCAAAAAAAATGTTATTATAAGATGATCCTTTAGTGTTTTGGACTATCATGCTCCCTCTGTTTATTGGGCATTTTTGCCAATTTGCACTTTACCATGTCTAATTAATCTACATCAAATCGATGCTTTTAATTCATATCTTATGATTGTGGCTAGAAACAAGAGGATTCAAATCCTATAAGTGGTCCTCAGCTTATTAGTGATTTAAGAATTGCCCATGATAATTATGTCCAAGAAACATGGCATCTTACTCTAAAAAGAATTGCTCATTTTACTTCAGATGTTAAAGCCATGTCTTTCAGCAAGATGTGGTGTAGAGTAATTGGCTATGGTCAAGTGTAATTGGCAAAAATGTCTGATAAATGAAACTGACAAGGTTTCCAATAAACAATAAGAAGAAAAAGATCAAGAGGGCAAAATAATACTAAACAAACAATTTATATGCAAGACAAAATGAAGCAAGAAATAAAGTAAAACTGGTCACAAAGTAAGAATGGTGATACCATACACAAGCGATACAGTCAATTGATTGTTGTGTTGTGACTCTAAGACAAGAGTATTTTGTTGGTTAGGAAGAAATCCCAATATAAAGTATGATTTCTCTATAAATTTGGGGAATTGAATGTTTATGTAGTCATTCCTAACAGGATTGGAACCAACACCCACCCCCAAGAATCAAATGGATGAGTGCACTCATTTTACTCCCTTTTACCCCCACTCTGTGGGGGTGAATAAATATAAACATGATATATATATAAATATTTACAACTTTTTTTGCATTTTCCTCATTTTTTTTTTTTATCTCAAAACTTTTTTTATAAAGCATTATTTTTCGTTTTCAATATTTTTTATTTTTCTTTTTTAAAATTACTGTTATACAGGAACATACCTATTCTATTGTTAATAGACTCTCCCACATATAATAAGTAGTAGTAGCAGTCACTGGGAGCTTAGTGAGTTAGTGAGTCTGTCGATGTCGGACATTAAAGTATCAGCCACCACAACTAGATTGCTGCGTCATTAAATATTATTTCAAGTTCCTAACGTTTTGTACGTCGAACCTTTTTTTTGACCGACTTAGTAAAATACAAGCCTCCACTGTGAAAACTACTCTACAACACATTGGCGACGAGGGATTCGTTCTCATATGGAGGAAGAAAAATTTTTTGTTCACTCTATAACAACTTGGCGACGAGGGATTCAATCTCATACGGAGGAAAAAAAAACATTTCGTTCACTCTACAACACTTGACGACATGGATTCGAAATACATACGATGAAAAAAAAAAAAAAAATTCACCAGCCATAACAACTTGACAACAAAGGATTCGTTCTCATATGGAGAAAAAAAAAAACATTTTGTTCACTCTACAACACTTGACGACGTGGATTTGTAACTCATACGGAAGAAAAAAAAATTCACCAGCCATAACAAACTTGGCGCACGAGGGATTCGGATTCATACGGTGAAAGAAAAAAAAAAAATTTGCTTGCATTATTTAGTGACGAAATTTGTTCTCATACATAGGAAAAAGAAAGAAAAAAAAAAACTTACTCGTCAAATTTTCGGCAACAACATCTCGGATTCACATTTAAAAACAAAAAAAAACTTGGCAAAGTTTTTCAAAAGACAAGACATCAACTTAGTGATAAAAAAATCAGTCGTATTCTCAACTGAGAAAAGAAATTTTTTTTCTAGATAAGAAAATTGCTCAAATAGGTCACGAATTGCAAATTCGTTTTGGACCCCCCCTCTACAATATTTAAGCATTGTGTAAACTTTTGCGAAGATTGAGGGATGCAAAAATATATTCCAGGAACTTTTTAAGTTTCAGACGGAACAACAGATGACAATATTAGAGCAACAGAAAAAATTCCAGATGCAACTACAGGAGGAAACTTTTAATAGACAGATGCAGTTTCAACGAGAAATGGAACTGATGCATAAAGAGTTTCAAAATAAAATTCTGGAAATAACTTAGAAGAAGGAAGAGAAAAATCTACAAAATATTTCTTTCCCAGAGAATAAAATATGGAATTCGATTGAAATATTCATGTACAGTCCAGACAAAGAGATAACTTTTGAAGAGTATTATAAAAAATATATGGACATGTATAATGAGGACTGTCATTCGTGGTCTGAAAGAAAGAAGGTTAGACTTCTTTTAAGCAAGTTAAGAACAGCTGAGCATAACAAATTGGTAAACTACATGTTACCAAAAAAAAACTAGCATGTTGACTTTTACCAAGGCGGTAAATATATTAAGTGAATTATTTAGTAAAAAGACATCTTTGTTTCGCAAGAGGTGGAAATGTTTGATGAAAGATGAAAACAAGACTATATAATGTACACAGCCAATGTGAATAAGCATTGGGAAGAATTCAAGCTAGCAGAGTTAAGCGCTGACAGCTTTAAGTGCTTAGTGTTTGTTCAAGGGCTGGTATCAGAAAGAGATGCAGAATTGAGGAAATTGGTACTTTCAAAATTGGAAAACGAACCAAGAATTACAATACAGAGTTTGGCAGAAGACTGCACAAGATATGTTAGCGTAAACAAAGATTCGAAAAGATAGAACAGTCTGGCGTTTTGCATGTAAGGAAAATACGCTACAAAAAAGAAAGTCAGTCTACCAAAAAGAATGCTAAAATTGTGGATTATCAAACAAAAAGTGAAATACCAGAGAAAAATAAACAAAAACTCTCAAAGCCATGTTTTGCTTCACTGGTAGAGATATTGCAATTTTAGGAATAAAAAATGTTTCAACTGTAAAAGAGTGGGTCATAAAAGTTTGCACTGCAGGTCAAAAAATAAAGACTTTAAAATAAGAAAATTAAAGTCCGACAAAGTGAACGATGGAATAACCAGAAAAGTTACCGTCGAAATAAGTAATAAAAAAAATAAAAATGCAACTCGACACTGGTTCCGACCTATCTATCATAAATTTGCATACGTGGAAGAAGTTGGGGAAACCAACTTTAATGAAGACAAATAAAATCGCGAGGTCAGTGACGGGAGAAAAAATACAATTTATTGGAGTATTTGTTACAAATGTCACGTTAAATAAAAAAAGGCGAAAAGCTAAACTATTTGTCATAGAAAATACCATGAACTTACTTGGTACGAATTGGATAACAGAATTTCAATTATGGGATTTACCAATAAATTCTTTCTGTTACAAGGTAGATTTTTTAAACTATGAAGCCCAAAAATTAGTAAAAAAAACTTAAGGGAACATTTCCTACTGTTTTTTCTCCAGGTTTGGGAATGTGTACCAAGATGGAGGCAAAATTACAGCCAAAACAAAACGCTCAGGCGGTATTCAAAAAGATAAGGAATGTGCTGTTTGCTTCAATTGAACAGATAGATAAAGAATTGGACAGATTAGAGAAAACCGGTGTATTTAAAAAAGTTGAATGGGTAACACCAATGATATACATAAAAAACAAGCTCCAGAAAGTAAAGATGAAATTGACACTGAGAAAAACTGGAGAACAAGTTACCCGCAGCCAAGGGCATGCAGTATTATTAAATGATTTAAGTCAACAAGAAGAACCTACAGAAACTGTGACTCCATCCTTAAGAAGCTCAAAGCTCAAGGTTGTTTCTGGTAACACTATAGAGGTATAAAAAAAAATAGAAAAGCAGATTGGCTATATGATGTACTTGGTGAAATGGGAAAAACTCACGTGCAGTAACCAGATCAGACAACATTTTGCAGACGTGGTTGACAGTGGTCCCGCAGGAAAAACGCTGATGGAGGTGATTTTAAATACGTTTGATCTAACAACGCATGCAACAATTTTACCTGAGGTACACCGATCCAGAAGAAAAAAAAAAAGGCAACTGATCATTTAAAAGTGGATCAAAAAACGTAGGAAATACGCTACAATATATATACACACACACACACACACACACACTTTTTAATCACAAAGCAGGGTAATAAAAAATGGGAGAGAAAAAAAACTAGGAAAACAGGTAAAAAAGGGGGCAAGTAAAACATTCAGGATTGTGCTTCATTTAGAACACTAAAATTTATTTCATTTTCCGTGACTTCACACCATTTTATAGAGTCATTTGAAATAATAATTTAAGAATGCCTTGAGTATATATTTTACAGAACAGCAATCATCTATAATGGGACTTACTACGTCATCCAAATTTTTAACAAAATAACTCTTTAAGTGTTCAGACATTTTTAAGTAACCTGCAGAGGTCTCTCTTGTCAGATGTTTTTGCACAGGGATTATTTTCCGTATTCTTGGTTGGATTATCTGGTTGCATAATTTGATTTTCTCCCCACAAAGAATTTCTTTTATATTTTTGGAAATCATATTGCATTTTTTTAACCAAAAGTAAAGAATCATTAAATATAGTAGGAATTAAAAGATTTTCAATAAATTTTACACACTGACCATTTTAGTTTCTGGCATGTTAGATAAGCAGGACTTATTGTGGCCTATGAAAATTGCTTTTTCACATTTGGTGTTCAATTTCTTTTTACCTTGTACCTAGGCATAAAATACTGTGCCAAAAATATGCCTATTACCTACGTTAAGTTTGTGACCCATAAGCATTTTGATGGTAATTTTTCCAGTTCCTTGACTATAACACCAATTTCTTATCTCTGCAGATGTCATAATAGCATATAACCATAAGAATTTTGGGAGTTTTGATTCAATTAGTAGACATCTTCCCATTAATATGGATTGCCAAGATCTTACTGCAGTGCCATTTTGGTGTGGAGATTGTAACTGATGTAACTGATTTTTCATGCTTTATATGATTATTGATCAGAAGTGCTTCAAAATTTTCATAAATAAATAATGTGCCATTATCACTTCTTAGGCATTTTACAGAGCCATACAGAGTGATATCTGGCAGATATTTCTTTGTGGCAAGAAACATATAAACTTTTTGTTTAAGAAAATAAATCATGATTAGACCAGAATAGTCATCAACAAAACAAAGTGTATATTTGAAATCATCTAAAGATATCCACTCAATCAAGCCAGCAAGATCACAATAAATGAAGTCTAATATTTTATTAGCCCATTTATCAAGTAATTTATTTTTATATTCTACCAATTTGCCTTGCATACACATTTCACAGATTAGATTTTTCCATAATTTTCATGTCTTCTAAAACTTCTTGTAGTTTTAAAATGACCTTTAGACTACAATATCCAAGAATTTGATATCATTGTTTTAGGCTATGCGTAGCAGTTTTGAAGGTTATTACAGTATTTAAATAGTACAAGCAAACATCTCTTTTTATGTCTAATTTTTAACTCCATTAGAATATACAAGTTCTGAGTAATTACAGCCAAATTTTACAGACCTTTTTTTTGGTAGCTGCTTGTACAGAGAATATATTCTGTTTAAATATAAGGACATAAAGAACATCCTTTCAAAGTTAGTTAAATATAATGAGTTATCTTTCTTGAAAAGCTCAAATGACACAATCAAATAGTATAAGACAGGATGATGGGAAGAAGTAGAAATCCTTTCTTTAAGAAAATCATAACACCAACCTAATTCATGAACCTTGAAAAGTGTAGGATTTTTAAATTGTATTGAAAAGCTTAGTTTATATTTTCTTTATAAATTGTGATCGAGTACTAATATCCAATTTTTTTAAAATTACAAATGGAATAATATTTTATGAAATTTATGCAAATATTTTTATTTCAAATATATGATGACTTTTCCATTAAAATTTAAATATTCAGGCAATAATTTATATCAGAAGTTTTGAGATGAAAAAATGATTACTACTATTATTATTATTATCATTAGGCTAACATTCACTGGGCAATAACTGAACATCAGTTCCCCACCCCCAATCTATACAGTGTCTAGAAAGAAATCATGCACTACTCCCAACAATAAGCCAAATTTACAAGTGGCTACACAGACACACACATACCAATAAGAGAAGATTAGCATTTGGCATCTGCCATAGTCTGTCTACTGTACATTAGCAGTACATCTGAGAAAAATTCAGAGGGATCTATAGTCCATACAGCATCAGGACAAAAGCAGTTTAACTCTTTGGAGATGTTACCAGAGCAAGCACTCTTCTCAGAAGAAAACATGACCAGAAATTATATAAATTCCATTCATGCAGTTTTAGCAAGGATTGCACTTTCTATATATGATCTGCTATATCTAGTTTCAATGTCTCTCCTTGGACTAGTTAATATTCCTTCACACTTACTATTAGAGAGTAGTTAATCCTAGTGAGTTAAAGCATTGGTTAAAATATAGATATCAGTATACTGGCATTTGTGAGTTCAGTCTATGGGTTTGGTAATGTTTAAAAGTAACACGCTCTGGATCAGTAGAATCAAGTGACACAATGGTTAAAAAGAATTGTGTCTATTGAGTTATCTCCCTTAAATATAGCTCAAATGAGAACAATCCAGCTCTGTAGAGTGAGTAAAGTGTTCAGTTTGAAATTCCAAGTGTTATCAAGTATGATGGCTGACAACATGAAAAAGGTCAGAGATTATGTCGACCAAAAATGTTGTGACTACAACAACTAATACAAGCATGGTGGTACAAACACTTTTTACACTTTCGTACATCCATATATGTAAAATGAAACATGTATCAATATATGGAAGTGGGTGCTGAAAAGTTCTCGGCTCTTCCTCGTAAAATGTTAATATCTGGATAAGTTTTAGGAAGCCAGTCAGGCTGAAAACTTTTCAGCACTCTCTCATATATACACACACACTCACACATATTTATATATTATCTATTGCGTTTACACATTTCTGATCAATAAGAACTATAAGATACCAGTACTCAGCCTCTTTGCTTTTTTTCATTTCTATCTCGATCTCTTAGGAAGCTCTAATAAAAGTGAGTTATTTCCTTCTTGTTCTTCATTTTATTTTATCATATATATATTTGTGTATTTAGGCAGCAAACTCTCTTTTAGGCATGTCTGATTGAATAAATTACAAACATTATGTCTGCTTATTTTTATCATAATTCTTTCATATTCGCAAATATTTTTCTATATATTACAATTAAATAATTATGTTAATTAAATATTAAATAATTATGTTAATTAAATATTAAATAATTATGTTAATGTTTGTAATTTATTTAATCAGACATATATATTATGAAATGGACAAAGTCCAACAATTATTTTAAGACATTTTTATAAAAAGAATGTATAAACATGAAAATGTCTTAAAATAAATATATATATATATATACTTTAAAATTTGCTATATTTATTGAGGAAAAGTGCTCAATATTGGAGATAGTGTCTACAGACATAGTTTGGACATGTGTGTTTGTGATCTGTAATAAAAACATTATTTTATAAATTACCTTTAATCTTACTTTATTATTTGGCAGGTTTTTTCCTCCAATCAAAATATTATCCTTTTGGCAAGGATGTTACTTGAAAGTGATTCTGATATTTCTGAAGAGCTACTACAAATTGGTAAGTTTTTCTTTTCCAAAATTAAATCGGAACATATATTTCCAATTTGTTGCGATAATTTGCTAATAACTTGACTGACAAGGACATTTCACCTTTTATTATTATCATATTCTACCTATTATTATTAGCTAAATTTTAATTCTAATTTTGCTTCATTGCCTTTTTCAAAAGTCTTTCTTGCAAAATCAATTTTTGAGGTCTGTTTGCACTTTGAACTTTGGTATTCAGAATTTAAATTCAAAATCAATGTATTAATCTACTTACTAAGGAATGTGTATTTCTCTTAATTTTACTTCCCAAAATTGTCTATATTTTTTTTACATACTGGAAGCAAACATTTGTTATCTTAGATGAAAACAAGAAGAAATCACTAAAAGATGCTTTAATAATTCCTCTTTAAATAAAAACTATATTTAGGCAGCATATTTTCATTCAAGCATATTTTGTTAAATAATTTAAATGTATTATATCTATTTATTTTAATTTTAATCCTTTCAATTTTATGGATTAATTTCTTGATAGCTGTAGAAAATTGATCAAAAATTCCGAAATTTTCTTTCAAATAATTTTTATTTTGTCAAGTACTTTCAATCTCATCCGATATCATCTTCAGGAGTTGAATTTCTATGGATATGTGTGCATGAACACCATGAAATTTTAAATATTTACACTGCTATTCAAGGGAGGTAACTGATGTGATTTTTGGAGTATAGTTATGTGTTTAAAAGAATTTTTAATTGTATTTTTTTAACAATTATAATTTAGTATTTTTAAAAACTTTGCTGCTATAAATATTTAAGAACATTGTTGCTCTACTCATAGTTGACTTCATTAATTTTGGCTGCAATTCTCTTATATAAAGGGCTTCCAGAATGCTAAGTTTTTGCTTATTATTATCTTGGTGGAGTATGGTTGTATTTTCAACTAATATCTGTCTAAACTGAATGTGAATATGAGTGAATTCATTTAAATGTTCTAACATTGAACTATCTTTTAAGTGAAACATAAGCCTTCTCATCATGGTCATTATATGGTCGTTATATTAAAACCAACATACATATCAACACTTTTATCAGAGACACAATCTCCCAAAGGACATTTAAATTGATATATGATGTTGGTCTTTTGTAAAATGCCAGTTGACAGAAGAGTTGTTATGAATGACTAAGTTGGTTGTATTAAATTTAGTATAATATATAATTAATTGTATTTTATTTTTTTTTTACTGGGATCAGTGGGGGATATATTAGTGTTTATAGGACTTTTTAGAATCTTTTTCATCCTGTGATTATATATATATATATATATATATATATATATATAAATGTGTATTTTATGCAAGTTTCATTAAAAACAAGTGACAAGTTACTGTTAAGTTTTTTATTTAATTTCTAATGTATTCTTAGACTTTTTTTATTTCTGAATGTAAATTATATAAAAATTGTTCAAATGTTTTGTATATCTGAGAGCTTTTGACTATCCTTTTAACTATTATCAGCGATGAATTTTATTTTTAACTGAATTTATGGATTGTTTTATGTATGTATCTAGAGTTATAGGAATGTTTTATTTTCCAAACATGGTCAGCACATTGTGGCCATGTTCATGTAAAATAAAAAACTTAACCACAGTACCTTGTCAGTCATTTTTAATGAAACTTGCATACATATATATATATATATATATATATATATATATATATATAATATGTGAAAATATATAGAAAATAGGAAGGAACTGGTTAGGTAAATAATCCAAAGTCCCTTAGTATTTTAGTTATTATTTTTAAAAAATAGTGCTCGATAAAATAAATAGTTTAAATACCCTAAAAAAGATAACCCTTTATGAAGTCATCAAAAAACAAACGTTATGACAGTTTTTTTTATATGCACAAATCCCTTTCATAAAAAAATAAAATAAAAAAATTAGTAAATCTCCATAGACATGCAAACTAGACGAGGGTTAATACATCTTCCGTTTCAAATTTAGACACCCCCACCTTTCCCTGACTTGACATCTACGAAAGTAACTCTATACTGATACTTATTATTAACACCCAACACCCGCCTACCCAACTTAAACAATTCACCCTAGCTGTTACCATGGAAATTTTGATTTCAATTTTAAAACACGTAAATTTCAGAAACACGTTATTCCAAAAAAATTTCGCTTGAAGATGGAACAGAGCTTATCTTAACTCAATTTAATTTAAATAATTATATTGAAGTTTTAGGCTCTTGTTTTGAAACATGGGACTTCTTATGTCGATTTGGAATCATATTTAAATAAATAATTATATATATATATATATATAAATAATTATATATATATATATATATATATATATATATATATATATATAAAAAAAAAAGCTCAAATACTAATATTCCATGGTTATAATTTATTACATTGGAATCATAATCACATCCAAATCATCAGACCTACAAATTCAAAAAGAAATCAGAAAATATAACTCTGGGTATAAAAAAAACAAAATTTTAGAGAGAGTGTACGTGTGGGAGTGGTAATATAAGCATGAAAGTGAAATGTATGAAAACTCTAGAGAGAAGGTGAAATAGAAGAAAGAAGAACAGGAAGGCCTAAAGGTGAAGGTGGTGGTTAAAATTTAACAGAAGAGAGGAATTAAATAACGGTTTAAATGAGATATAGATAAATATGAATATATATTTATAGCTTGCCTTGGACAATAGTGTCTTAGTTTTTTTTGTCTTATATATTCAGTTTCCTTGTATGATTTTCCATTTTTTTTTATTTATTTATTTTTTTTTTTTTTTTTTTTTTTTTGGCTTTCTTTTTGGCCAGTGATCTTTTTGTCTTAGAACATCGGAATTACATAACAGAATTCCTTTTGCGAGAAAAGAGAAAGAAAGAGAACTTTTTGTTTGGAACCTCTAAGACAGAAAATAGATGTTTGGGGAAAGAGAGAAAAAAGAAAAAAAATTTGAACAAAGAGTAAAAGTTCTTTCTTTAAACTTTATCTAATTATTTTGAGTGCACCTTGAAAGGCCACCTGGGCAACTGCACCCCCATTCCCGGTCTTCCTCATGTCAGTCTCTCACTGCTTTTCTTCTCTGCCAACTTCGTTCGATCAGGCATCTTCAAACACATGATGTCACTTCAACCACATCACAAAACCGACATGACATTCCAACCGATGATCAATTTTCTTTCATTCAAAAGCAAGATGCATCTTTCGACATCTGCACTAAAAACAAGTTGACAACTTGTGAAAAATGACATCCGGATTAGTTTCCCTCTTGCTATAAATATCGATCATAGTCACATGATAAGCAATGGAAGAATTTACCCTTTTATTTGCTAAAAATTATTTTTCTTTTCTGGCTTGCAGCATGTTTACTTGGCTATAGAAATTCACAAGATTGAAAAAGTCAGATTACACAGTATGGCCACCATCATGTTACAAAATTGTTTGAAGATCTATAAAATACAAATTCTATTCTATGCAGAGAGCCATAGATTTGGTGAAAGGACATTGTTAAGCAACATTTTCATGAACGACATTGGGTAGCAGGACTCCTTCATATTTCTGAAATAAAGTGCTTTTATACATTATGTATAATTATTTTCTTTAAAAATTTCCTATATTTATATAGAACACTCAATATTATGAATGGAGCATATGCACACACACACACACCTTACTGGTGACTCTGGTAGTCAGGCTTGTCAGGCTCAGCCCAAGTGACCCATCATTCAATTATATCTATTTCAAAGCAAAATAAATCTTTCATAGTGTCATTTTCATTCTTGACTTCAGTTGGATCCAAAATTGTTTTAACTCTGTGCTTCAAAATATAGACCAAAATATATTTCGTTGGTATAATTCATAATAAAGCAGAAAGAAGAAAAAAAATACAAATTAAGAAAAAAGTGAATGAAATAAAATTATTATGGCTAGTTGGGTTACATAGGTCTGAGCCCTATCTGAGCTGGAGACATTTAATAGGCAATGTATTTATTGCTTTAATTTTATAAATAATCTTTTAAAAATCTCTAATGACATGTATACCCTGTTTTTCAAAGAACACATTTTTATTTCAACTTATTGTTTTCAGATGTCCATTTTAAATAATTTATTCCATACAGTATAAAGGTTGTTTAGCACAATGTATCAATTGAAAAAGGGCAAATTAAATTTAGCCCATCCTAAAGTTGGTGAAAATCAAAGAAAGCTTTAACTTGTCAACTGGATGGTTGGGGTGAGGAGTGTGACAGGGGTAGTGATGAGGAAGTATGATATCAGTCAGCAATACTGATCATAATTGTAAAATTCACAGACAGTGAGATACATAAACATACTAACACATACACATATATACAAACACACATTTAAGATAGATACATGTGTTTTCTTTTTTAAAAAAAAACATATCTGGATTGAAATTTTTTTAAATTATATATTTTAGTTAGAGTAAAGGAATCATTTTAGCATCTAAGTTATACCAATAGTATATTTTTTGAATATTCCAATGAGCCTGACAAAAATTGATGACCTAGAGTCACCACTATATATGTGTGCGTGTGTGTGTATTTAGGCAGCTAACTCTCTTTTAGGCATGTCTGATTGAATAGATTACAAACATTATGTCTACTTGTTTTTATCATAATCCTTTCATGATGAAAATAAGCAGACATAATGTTTTTAATTTATTCACTCACACATGCCTAAAAGAGATATATATATATATAGAGAGAGAGAGAGAGAGAATATTAGTGGTCAATATATATATATATATAAAAATTTCCAAGAGGATAGAATCCAGGTAGAACTCAATGTCCAGGACAGAGTAAGAATATAATATTAGTGTTTGAGCCTTTATATATATATATATATATATATATATATATATATATTAGGTACCTCCACAAAATTGCTAAAAGATCAGCATACCATGAAGAAAACACAAAATCTTTGTCATTAAGAGGAAAGATTGAAGTATTTATGAATATTTCATTAA